CGCGGCGAAAGGGCTCAGACGCGCGGCCGCCAGCGCTGCCCCCTACGCTCAGCTCGGCTCGGCTCGGCCCGGCCTGGGGCGCCTCGGGAGACCGGCAAGCAGCAGCAGCTGGAGGAGAAAGAAGAGGAGGCAGCGCAGCGAGACTCGGGCTCCTGCCCGCAGGGGAGAGGCCGGGGCCGGCCTGCGCGCCCCGGCTGCCCGGGGCCGGCCTGCCCGCGGCCCCCTGTTCTATGACTGCAAAGATGGAGCCTACCTTCTACGAGGATGCCCTGAACGCCGCCTTTGCGCCGCCCGAGAGCGGTGGCTACGGATACAACAACCCCAAAGCGCTGAAGCAGAGCATGACCCTGAACCTGGCCGACCCCGCCAGCGCCCTGAAGCCTCACCTGAGGAACAAGAGCACCGACCTGCTCACCTCGCCGGACGTGGGGCTGCTCAAGCTGGCCTCGCCGGAGCTGGAGCGCCTCATCATCCAGTCCAGCAACGGGCTCATCACCACCACACCGACCCCCACCCAGTTCCTCTGTCCCAAAAATGTGACGGATGAGCAGGAGGGCTTTGCCGAAGGCTTCGTGCGGGCGCTGGCTGAGCTGCACAACCAGAACACGGTGCCCAGCGTCACCTCGGCTGCCCAACCTGTTGGTGCCGGCATGGCACCTGTCTCCTCCATGGCCGGCAACAGTGGGTTCAATGCCAGTTTGCACAGTGAGCCGCCGGTGTACGCCAATCTCAGCAACTTCAACCCCAACGCCCTCAACTCGGCCCCTGGCTACACGCCGGGCAGCATGGGCTACCCACCGCCACCACCGCAGCATCACATGAACCCCCAGATGCCAGTGCAGCATCCCAGGCTCCAGGCGTTGAAAGAAGAGCCTCAGACTGTCCCTGAAATGCCCGGGGAGACTCCTCCGCTGTCCCCCATTGACATGGAGTCTCAGGAGAGGATCAAGGCTGAAAGGAAGCGCATGAGAAATCGAATCGCCGCCTCCAAGTGCCGGAAAAGGAAGCTGGAAAGGATTGCCAGATTGGAAGAAAAAGTGAAAACTTTGAAAGCCCAGAACTCAGAACTGGCATCCACTGCCAACATGCTCAGAGAACAGGTTGCACAGCTTAAGCAGAAGGTCATGAACCATGTCAACAGTGGGTGCCAGCTCATGCTAACACAACAGTTGCAAACATTTTGAAGAGATTGACTCAAGTCAGAACTAATGAGGTTGTGGTAGAGCAAACAAACCCCCCAGAAGTGGCAGACACGTAAAGCTAATGGTAAAAGCTGAAAGGCATTGAGTCCTGCCTGCGCCCCGCCAAGCGCATGTGTGGAAAGACTGGCAAGCCTTCAGTCCAAGCGAGTGGGTGAAGCAGCCAGCAGCACTGCTCTAAGAAGTGCTGTGCCTGCTCCGAGGAGATTTCAGATCTCTTG